AAATGTTTTGTGAAATTCAACCTTTTCATTTTCATCATAATAACTGCTGTCTTGTTGAAATTGCAATTGAAAGATGAGTTTTATTCAAAGCTTCAATACATTCTTTGAAGAATGGTCATTGTTTGAAATTATTGCTCAGCACATCTCAGTTATATTTTATAAAATAAATAAATAAATGAACAATACAGTCATACAATTCATATAATATTTTGAACATTTTATGAAATATTTTATATAAAAATAATGAGTATTTAATATATCTATTAGAACTGTTATAAATGATTTATATTTATTTTAATATTATATTAATAAAATGATGAAACATCCTTGCAGTGTTTTTATATGCCATTTTCTAAATGATTATATATAATAAAATCAAGAGCTTTTATTTGATTTAAATAGTAAATGAATTTATTGATTTTTTTACATTTGTATGATGCTGCAATCAATCAATAAATTTTAAAAAAATGTTAAACTTCATCTGTGTCATATTTTTCAATCATTGATAATGAGAATCTGATTTCAAAAGATCAGCAGTAAAATTCATTTTATGAAAAAAATTTGTATATATAAATCAAATTTAAAAAAAAATTGAATTGTATGCTTTGAGCAACAGAATGCATAGCAATTTAAGTGATTAATTGATAATGTTGATATAACAATATTTGTTTCAATCATTCATTCTCATATTTATCATCAAAATCTTTCATGATGTCAATCATTATATCATCAATGGCAGTTTTCTTCAACTTAAAAAATCAACAAAAAAAGGCATGATGATGAAGGAATTCAGCTCACTTCATTATTATGCCTTTACATAAGCTAAACCATATCAATGAAATGACCTGGCTGTGTGCAGCTTACACAGTCTTACACAGCTCTAACCTTGTCTATTTCAGTTACAACCACTCTATAATCAGTCTAATTACACTGTTGAATCTTAATACTGTGTAAGCAGAGCAAAAAAAGGGATACAAAAATGACAGACTGAACACAAGGTCTTTTTTGTGTAGGTATTTTCAATACACTGTGCAAGGCTGTGTAAGTGGGTCTTTTATAAGAGGTTATAAGAGCTTACACGGGCAGCCGAACACGCCCTAATTACACCTCGCTTAGCGCTTCTACACTAACTCTACAACACTACTATGGTGTTATTCATCTTTTTCATCTATGTGATTGTTCTCTATTTTAACGGCCGTAGATTACGAGTCACGTGTAGCCGTTATATATCTCATTACGTTCGCCCGAGGGATTAAACGGCGCGTTTTCAAGCTGGATAAGCGAGCGCAAGCGAGCGATTGCGGCTTGTATAATTTGATGAATTTATTCTTTGTTGCTTCTCTAGCCTAATATACATGGAGACTCCAGAATATTTATACCACTCAACTCACAGAGGATAACTAAACATGGGAGACACACAATATGTAATAAAATAAAGGGGACAAGGTACAGAGCACGGATAGTCCGTGTTCTGCGTAGCTCGTGGCCATACGAGGGGATGGTTAGTGAGGTCTCTCCATTCAGGATGAGTGAAATATAACTACAGCGTAGAGAGCAGCTGCATATAAGCAATAGGCTAGTGAGATCAAGAGTCTCAGGGTCTCTGACTGCATAAAGCGCTTAACAAAAAATATGAAGGGTGACGACGGCGACAACAACAGAAC